ACAGCTCCAAGAAAGCCAAGTTCCGCATGAGGGGGCTCAGTCGCCACTCCCTCGGCCATCGCTCCGCACACCAACGTCCCCCAAAATAAGCCCCGAAGCCCACGCTACCAGACGCGTCTGTGAACAGCTCCAGTTCCGCAGCCGACACGCCCTCCTGTCTAAAAATCACCGTCCCATTGAACTCCCGCAAAAAGGTCTCCCATACAGCCAAGTCGGCCCTCATGGCCGACGACACCCGAATGAAGTGACGCGGGGATCGCACCCCTGCCGTCGCTGCCGACAGGCTCCGGCTGAACACCCTACCCATTGGGATCACCCGGCATGCAAAATTCAGCATCCCCGCAACGTAACCTTACGGGCTTGAGCCGCCGTCGTCACCTCCTCCTTCAGCCGCCGCAACTTCTCCAGCGGCAGCCGACACTCCCCTTGCAACGTATCTATTTCCAACCCCAAAAAACTAAGGCACTGAGCCGGCCCTTCTGTCTTGTCCGCCGCCAGCGGGACCCCGAAATGGCCAGCCACCCACTCGACCGTTCTCAGCAAGTGTAGGCAGGCGGGGGAGCCCGCCGGTCCTACGCAGAGAAAATCGTCCAGGTAGTGTACCACAGCCCCACTCCCCGCCTCAACTTTGACCACCCATTCAAGAAAAGTACTAAATTTCTCAAAGTAGGCGCAGGAGATAGCACAACCCATTGGAAGGCACAAATCCACAAAGTACCCCCCGTCGAAGAAACACCCCAGCAAGTGATGACACGCTGGGTGGACCGGAAGCAGCCGAAACGCTGCTTCGATATCCACCTTAGCCAACAGTGCTCCGCGCCCGGCCTTCCTTACCAGCTCGACCGCCCTGTCGAATGATGCGTATGAGACCGAGCACAAGTCCTTGTCAATATCATCATTCACCGACTCTCCTTCCGGGTAGGAGAGGTGGTGAATGAGCCTGAATTTGCCCGGTTCCTTCTTGGGAACCACCCCGAGCGGGGAAACCCGCAGACCCTCCAATGGAGGAGCCGGGAACGGCCCTGCCATCCTCCCCAATTTGACTTCCTTGCCCAGTTTTTCCCGCACCACACCCGGGAACTCAGCCACCGATTTAAGGTTGCGCCGAACCCCAGTCCCCCCCCGGTTCCGGAAAGGGATAAAGAACCCCTGACCAAACCCCGCCCGGAGCGCCACGGCATCTGCCTTATTACCGTAGCGGCTTAGCCACGGCTCCATCGCGTCTAGCCTCACCGGGGTTAGGCCCCGGGGCAAGCGAAACTCCCCCTCCCCCCCCAGCCGAGGTAGGGACCCCGGTGTGCCCCGACTTCCCTTTTTTGAAGCACCGGTTGAGCCCATGCGCGCCTCCGCAGCCCGAACACTCGTGCTTAAAGCGACAGGCGTTTCCCCATTTGCACTGGCCCTCGTTAAAGAGCCAGCAGAAGCCCTTTTGCATGGCGGCCGACGAGGCGGACTGCCCCTTTGCGCCGGCCGTGGGCTGAAATGGCTGCGCTTTTTGCGCCATCATCAGCTTCATCCAGAGAGGCAGGTCCATTTGATCCCACCGCATACCCGGATTAGCCGCCAAACGCTGCCGGAATTGCTCGTCGTACCGCCACCATGCCAGTCCGCCATAGGTGCGATACGCCTCCCAAATGCCATCCAAATAACAAAACAGAGAGGAGCACAGGCCCGGCGATTTCTCGCCCAGAACACTGGCCAACACGCAAAAGGCCCTCAGCCAGTTACCGAAAGACTTGGGAATCTTACGATACCGCTTCTTCTTCTCTTCCTCCTCCTTCTTCTCATCTTTTTTATCGTCCTCTTTGAGATCAATAAAATCCTCCAAAGGGAGAAGAGAAAAGATCTCGCAGAAGTCACCCTTCCAGATTTTTTCCTTCACCTCCTGTTTGAGGTGGACCCCCAGCGGACCCGCAAACGACACATATGCGTGTTGCCTGGCCGCATCAGGAACCACCCCCCCCGTCAACTCAGCCCGCTCGCTCGTCGCCTCCGCCCCAGTAACCGTCACTGCAGTGTCCCCACCCGAACTCTGTTCCGCGGAGGGAACCTCGCTCGGGCCCGCCACCCCGGCCCCCTGAGCCCAAACCTGCCCCACACCGCCCTTTGTGGCACCCCCCGCTCCCAGTGAGTGGAGAAGTGCTTGAAGTGTATGAACCAATGCACTGGAGTGCAGAGAAGCAGAGGACTCACCGGCCAAGCCCCTCGACCCCGAAGCTCCTGGGGCTGCGTTGTGTACTGTCCCCTGACCAGGATGAGCGACATCCGTTAACGATCCTCCAACCGGGGAGCCAACCCGGTGCCCGGCCACATCAGATGCGGAGCGGCTCCGAGATCTGTAACGAGGAGAAGAAGTCCTGGGCAGAGCATACTGGTCATGAGCAGCCCCCCCGTCCCGACCTTGAGAGCGCCCGCTGGACACCAGAGCCTCCCGTCGCGCAACCACTCCTTTTCGCCCACCCAAGGCCCGATCGGCCCTGCCTCTGGGACTACGACTCCTCCCGTTTCTACCAGAGGCCCGCCCCCGTGTAACCAGCCTGGGGGCCATGACACTCTCCCCCCCTGAGCTACTAGATGAGGACCTAACACGCCGAACCCTTCCCTTAAACCCCCCGGACCCCCGGGCCCTAACCGGTGACGGGCTGCTATCACCTGACCCCAAACCTGAACCCCCCCCAGAACTACGCCCACCTATCTGCTCACCAGCGCAGGGAAATCCCCACCCCCCACCCCGGCGGGCCCCCCGACTAGAAGCACCCCCTCCCCTCGGTACCTCCAGCCGGTCCCCAGACCCCGCACCCCTAACCTGTCCTGAACGCCCTGCGCACCTCGACCTCCTGCCCCCCCCTGATGGCAAACTTCCCCCTGCCGTACCCCCTGGCCCTTCCACCCTCCCGGCTACTGGCCCTCGCTCCAAGCTCACTACCCTGGAACTACCCTGCGCACCCTCCCCCCTAGACCTCCCTGCCCCCGCTCTAGCAGGCACCTGACCCCTCCCCACGTCCCCCCCAGGACTCTGAACCCTGTGCCCAGTCCTCCTGCGCTGATTCACGCCAAGGGGGTCCCGGCCGGAACCCCCTGCACTTGCCTGTTCCAGGGGCGGTCCGCGAGCTCCTTCCGCACCGGCCCCGCCAGTCCCCGCCATGGGTGTAGTAGATGCCCTCCCGGGCTGCAATCCCGCGTCCTCACCGGTTCCAGGGGGCCGCCCGATGTCTCCCGCGGCCCCCGCTCCAGGCGCAGCCCTCCCCGCACTGGGAGCTGCACCGTCCGACTCCCGGGTAGCCTCCCGCCGGCTACCGCTTCTCCGACGTCCCGGTAACGCGCCGGGAGGCGGAGCCTCAACCATGCGGCTACCGGGTCCGTTTCGGCCTGGTCCCGCCGCCGCCCGGCCGCTGGAACCGTCTCCACCGGACTCCGCGCCTGGGCTCAGCCGTCTCGGCGGCCTCCGAGCCCGCACAGGCCGACCTCCGCCGCCCTCATGATCCGCAGCACCCGCCAGGGCTGGTCCAAGTTGCGCCCGCAGCCAGTCCACGCCACGTCCTTGAGCCGCCAACCGGATCCGCTCCAACAGCTCCTCCATGTTATCCTTCGACCCTGCAGAAGGAGAGAAAAACAAAGACCCCACCAAACCAAATCTGTGGACACAGGAGTGCACACAAACTCAGCAAGGTAGTAATTAAAAGTGAAGGCTTTAAAATGGCTGCCTATTTAAATAGCCAAGCCTACTTACCCATAACTCCCTACTTCCTTCCCTCCTCCTATGCCCGCCTCCTAACCCCTGTCAAGGCCTTTTTTCGCTTAGCTGCGCTTTGGCTACATGGGGCTACAATCTTTAATTAAAGAGAAAAAGAAGCAGGTGTTATTTTAAGTTAAAAATAGAGGATTTATTAAAAAATAAATGGAAAAAGTCAGTGGGCAATTGACCACCTGTCACCCCTTCTCACCCTGACAAGAATAAAGCTGTACATCCAGTCTGTAGCATCAGTGACCATTTTTCAGTGGATTTTTGTTGTTGTTGTTGTTGTGCCCTTGTAGCAGCCATAACTCATATAGCAGAATGAGTTATTTTACTGGAAAACAGGGGAATGTTCAAGAAATTAAAGGGATACTTCAGACTCCTAAAGTGCTTTAGATTGCTGAAAAGCTTTGTGTGTGAAGAGTATGTCCTCTTTATTTAATTTTGCAAAAAGTGCAGATTTTAATAGAAATTAACACTTTTATAAATTAACCTGGTTACCCTCTTTGGCTTTCAAGCAAACAACAGGTAATATCACTTGCTGGTTGTTTAGCTCAGTCTCTAAATTCCAGAGGCAGAAGTGGCCCAGAGCACCTGCCTTGCAAATATTTCAGATTGAGCTGCATTGAGAAGTCTGTGATTGGACAGTCAAAGAAAACCTGGGCAAGGTTAAAAGGGGAGGTATTGCAAAGGCTGCAGACAAGAGATCTGCAGGTTTTGCCAGCTACTGGTAGTAGCAGATAGGCAAAAGGAACATTTTTATATATATTTTTTTAGTTAGTTTCTTTTTTTATCGTCAGATGATGAGTGTAACTGTTCCTGTCCATCTTGTCTCTGGCGCTATCCATACGTCCCCCTGCTCTGCCCAAGGGTGGTGGTAGTGGAGGAGGTAATGCAGGAGGTAAGTTGTGACAACTGTGTAGAATGAGATACAGATCCAATGGACATGATTTCTGTCCTAGTACTTTTTAAAGAAAATTTTGGCTGGAGGGGTGAGTACCTTGTCTCTGATGCTGAGCCTGTGCCAGAACTTCTGGCATATAGCCTCGAATCTGGCATTGAATGCCTCAATCCACTCCAGGCCATCATAGGTTAGTCAGCTGGGCTGAGGAACAGATGCGGCGGCCATCTTAGTTGCGCCACATGGAGGTCGGAGTAGCTGACTAGGAAATCTCGACCTCAGATGCTGTATGCCCCAGTGGGGATCTGGATATCCCCTACTGGTCCAAGGGCGAAGGGGGGCTGTGAGAGGTGGCTGCCAGGTGCTCGCTCAGCGTTGGGAGTTCGGCTCCCTCTCTGTTTCACTGGCAAAGCAGACCCAGCAGACCTCAGGGTCCAACGGATTCACTGCTTTGCTATATGTTCCGGATAGAATAAATTGCACCTGCTATTAATATCAGACCTCGGTACTTTAAGGTCACTTGTAGCCAAAATAGTGAGTTGAGAGGCTTAATATTATCTCCATGTGTCCAGAGCTACAGAGGGACACGTCTGGCCAACTTGGCTGTCAGGCCCCACCCCTGTCCTAGTATTTTTTTGTTCTGCTTCTTCGGTCAGTGTTACTGACAGAGGGTGCTTCCAGAGACCCTCCATAGCTATCCTGTCCATCTGCATGGTGGCACCGGGAGGGAGTGAAAAATAGGGAGCCGCCATCTTTCAGTTCAGCTCTTGTTATCTACCAGGGCATGGTTCGCTGGTGGTGTATGCTCTGCCCATCATGTGACATCACAATACCCCACCAATATGATCTGCCATATGAGCCGACGCCAGTGCTGCACACAGTGTCTTTTCTCTGAAAAGGTAGTATGTTTACTTTAAAAAGCCTCAGGGACAGGTTATAGACACCAGAACCACTACATAAGCACTGACAAAACATAATTATAAAAGAGGCTCATGGGAACAGTTAGTTCATTTGCATGAAATGAGCCATCTGCCATAGTTATATAAATGAAAGCATATTAACCCTGGAGCAATATACATGGTAGTTACTTTGGGCATATACATTTAATAATTAATAATAGTCACTTTTATGTTCTGTGTGGATTTAAAAAAATGCTTTTATCTCATAGAAACATAGAATGTGGTGACAGATACGAACCATTCGGCCTAACTAGTCTGCCCAAATGCCCATCTATACCTGACATTTCTCTTTAAAGCACCATGACCACTTCTGTGATTTGAAGTGGTCATGGTGTTTGGAGTCAGTATGTGCAGCATTTCACTATGGAACGCTGAACATACTGGGTTTAACCGCTTTGCTGCTAGAGGTGAAACTCAGGGTTATAGGGACATCATTAGCCAGTCAGGGGCTAATGTCAATTCTGAGCTGCGAGCGCTCATCTAAAACTATCAGCCAATGAATGATGACTGGATTGGCTTCTGAATCTCTGAAGCGATTCGCCAGATGTAAAAGGACCCTCGGACCCAGCAGGATCCCAACTTGGTTAAATTGTTATCCATTGATCAATAGTTTGCCCTTTATCATGGAATCAGGTCAGGGTACTCGCACCATAACAGTGGGCTGTAGTGGATATGAAGCTTGGATTAATCCTTTTAGACCTGCAGAAATAGGCAAATAAATCAGTGCCCTATTACATACATTAGTTATGACATATTTTGCATTTATCTTTGTAAAGTCAAGCTATATTGGTAGTTATTTGCGCTGTGCAAAGAATTTGGTTACTGTTATGGAGAGACATTTAAATGTAACCAAGACAGAGTTCCATTAGCACAGTTACCAAGCATTATTTAGCGGTATATGAAATCCTTTACTCTGTCAGGATTTGAACTCGAACAAACGAATCTGCATAAAATTAAACTACATTCCAGGAAACAAGCCCGCCCCTCTGTCAGATCGGTGTTCCTGTCAAACTGAAAAATTACAGCACAATTATATAGTCTGTGTTTGTGGAGTGTTGTGACTTGTCGAGTCAGTGGCAAGTCACGGCAGGGTAACGTGTGAGCAGGGAAGGTTAATGGAGAATCCTTCTTATATGTTTATATGTAACAGGGTTTTGATTAAGACAGCCCCTCGCTAGTCACAGGTTTCAGAATGCCCGAACTAGCCATTGGCAAACGGCAGGTTATCACTTGCCTCTCTAAAAAGAGCTGCAAATCTTGTTTTTCTTTTACAGCAAACACACAAACTTCAAAAGTTAGTTGCATTTTTCTTAAAACTATTTTTTTTATTATTTTAGTTAATTTTTTTTTGACAGTGCATTATCTAACATTATAAATAATGCATTAAAAATATTATCTAAAAAGTGAATTAAAAAGATACTCGACTTTAAAGTTCCAGAACTGCTCAACTGGGAGAGGTTATCTGCAGCTGTATATATGTACTGTCTGGTTCACAGTTCTGTGAACGTTGTTGTGTGCTTTGATTGGTGGACGTAGTCATGGTTCCTTCACAGGAGGAGAGACAGATGCTTCCTACTTTCTCTGTGCCCAAGCACATGCTCATAATGCATGAAAGTGACACAGCAAAAGAGCCAAGGAGGCGCTGGCTTGTAGCTGCAATGGTTTTTAGAAATAGCTCAGCAGGGAAGTGGTAGACAGGGCATTTTATGCATCAAAAGCATTGCAATGGGCTAAAATTGTTATAATTGAATTTTTTAATCCACACATTCTCATTACATGTTAATAAAATAAGCACTCAAATCAAGTGTCTGGCTCGCCAAATAGGAATCTAGTGTTGGTTCCATAATAGATGTAAATGGACAGCACTGGTATAGCGGACCACAGTAACACGACTGGTTACCTCAGCTAATTCCTTCCTTCAGCCACTCTGGAACCATTAACACCAACAGACATCCATTCCACCAGTAATCAGACGAAACATTGTTCTGGGAGTCAAATGATTTTATTCAGGTCACACACGGCTTTTATGGCCAGTCCCCTACATGGAGTTTACAGTACAATAAAACAGGGGTTTCAATCCCAGGATCCTCTGTGACTGAGAGATAATTTGTGAGAAAAACCCTCTAATCTAATTATCTCTCAGGTACAGAAAATCCAAGAAAATATACAGTCAAAAGTGTCCCCACCCTACTCAGGAACCCCACAAAAAGTACATTCATTGATAGCCCCGATCTGAGTATATAACATATTCAAGAATCATTCAGATCGGTTCAGTGAAACTGGAATGCCATTGAGGTAAAGTTTTTACTGGCCAGACACGAGGCGCTAGCCCTAAACAGTTCCAGGAAAATAGGTGCCCTGGCTAGTCTCCGTTCGTGAGGTTCCTCTGTGAACACCATGCAAGGGAATCTCTTAATTTCAGGATACGAATGCTCTCCCTGTTCGGTAGTTTATATCTCCCGAACGTCATTCTTATAGGTGGTCAGAAAATAAAACGGGCAGCGGTCTAGGTTTTACTGGCGTTTACGCAAGTGCATAGCCGAAAAGGGTTCCAGGCACACGACGACCAAGTACCGCTGCCCATGTTCAGGAGACAAGATGGCCACCATTCTTTTGTTTGCCACGTGTTCGGTTGCCCAGGGGAAGCATTCATTAATTACTTACCTTGCGGTTTGGCACTTAAGTTGCTGGTGTTAACGTTCTAATGGGGTACAGGGGTGGTCCTCATTCGGGAGACGAAAGGATTCTGTTAGTGTGAAGTACTCCCGAACGGAAAAAGGATAAAGCATACGAAATAAAGGGGAAACATATGAATAGGTGGTAAGTTCCGCCACAACTGGTTTCACTGTGTAAATCACACAAAGATCGACAACACTATCCATTACTGTGTATGACAGTCCCAGCTCCTTCCACAGCTAGTCCTATTATAATTACCTTTATTGGAACCTTTAGAGTCTACAAACTGTACACCACTGCAGAACAGACTTGTTTACAGCAAGAAAATGCGACTCAGCTGAACTGATTTCCCTAAAAATAGAGAATTTTTCAGGACACCCAAATTTCACCCGAGCTTTTGACCAAAAAAAGCGTGCGCAAATGGGCCAGTGTGCTGAAAAATATATATACAATATATTATTTTATATTTTTCCACCATCTGAATCACAGATCAAATGAGTAAAAGTAGCCAAAGAGGAGAAATGGAGGAGCAGTACAAATATTGAATATTTTGCTTTTCTTCCTTTAACCCTCTATTGCCCACTTCTCACTTGATCTCAGTTTTGACCATCTCTAGCCATCAGTCATCTTTTTCTCCATCAATCTCTTTTTATACGCCACGGGTGGGATTCAGAATCATGAACAAAAAAAACCAAACATGTTCTGCATAGTGTGTTTTTGGAAGTCCATGAAATGTGTATGTTTTGGCTAGAAGTTCTAGAATTCAGCCAATCACACGATTGCTCAAAATTCAGCCAAATTGCACGTTAAGCCCAAAATTAATTTCCAAGTCTACCGCAGAATATGTTGCTACTTCATACATAAAATGCCAACAATTCAAAATATTTCAACACTGTTCCTAGTGTTATGGTTTTGTGTTATATTCCTTTAAAAGTTTGGAATTCTGTCACTTTAAAGTGACGAGGAACTGATGGTTCCGGTGGAACTGTATAATCACACGCTGTCAGTGTTTTGTTTTACTGATATTTTGTCTGTTACCCTCTGCCTGTGCACCCATTCGCCTTTCAACACTCCAGGTTCGTTCGCCTTGAACACCTCCTCTCCGCTCCCTCAAGCCTCTCCCAAAGCCTCGTAGTTACTCAAATTGATCTTCTGGATTTTGACCTCAGCTACAAATAAGGATTCCCTCTTGTAATTCACCTCGGACTGAATTTGCTGGTATTAGTTGGGACTGCTACAGTATTCTCTGTTACCGCCTTACAATTTAACTGACTGATAATCTGGTTCTGACCTTGGCTTGTGTTTATGGACCTTAATATAGCTTGCACCTTGGATTCACATTATTGCTTATAGATATATTTTCATTGTTTGCTCTTTTCATTTCATCAACCAGCGTTTCTGAAATTGTTCTTGGATTTGCAAAAATAAATATATTTTTTTTCCTTTCATCAACCATACTGTTTTTGTAAAAGTTTTTTTCCCCCAGTATTGCACTGTTTAGTTAACATAGGAAATATATCACCTAGATTGCTGATCAGATCTGAAATAGAATCTTTGCCAGAAAAATGTTCTGAAATTTGCAACAAAGTAAAGCTGCAAGGAGTTCTTCAAAAATGTTTTTAGCTCCTTAAGATTTTGCCTATAAAGGTCCACGCTCCATCACAAGCCAGTGATCTCTATCGCCATGGAAACCTCCTCGCTCTCTCTCCCTTCCTCAAGTTTTGATGTTGATTATGGGAACCGGCTTTCCTGCCATCCCTCTCAGAATAAGAACAATAATACATAGTGTCTCTGTCAGGATATAAATGAAATTAGTAAATATTTAAATTGCTGGTGTTAAATGCAGAGCAGGAGCAGTAAGCCCAATTTAATAACTTTAAATTAATCCAATAAGGATTGCAGGTCTGGTTTATTTGAACTGAATCTCTCCAGGCGAACAGGCAGTGAGAGGCAATACTGAAGGTCTAACCACACTTGATCACCATAGCAAAACTATGTTAACCCATTAAAGGGAAACTGTAGGCACTGAAATTGCTTCATATCATTGCAGTGGTTATGGTGCTCGGAGTCCCCTGGCACAGTCCTTCCATTCAGCGTTGTACTGTTTTAAATGTTTTAATGTTAAACGAGAGTTCCCAGCAGCCCATTTCCTCTGTGCTGCTTAGACTAATGAGGAAGTATTAGCCTGAGCAACAATGGGTGGTTGTGATTGGCTGAGAGTGTCAGCTAATTACATTCAGCCTATCACAGTGCCCATTGCTGGTATGAATTGGTATGGCTACAAGGAAGTGTGTAATATCTGCCTTAGTCACATCTCCAGTGGGGGCCGGGCTGTGGGTGGCCATGGTCCCTTATTTAGTGTTAAACTGTTTGAAAAGAACTCAAAGATCTACACCTAATTCAGTGTCATACTGCCTCCAGTGTCCTTTTAATGATCAATGATTTATCTGAAAACACAAGATGTTTTTTGTTCTGTGGAGATTCCATGCCAAGTATGGATAACCATGATGTATGTGAATACATATTACATGTTGCCCAGCCACCATCATACAAAGACTTTCCCCAAGAGACATGTCTACTGCATGGTGGTGTCTGCAGAGAGAGGAGGAATGAAGAGATGTTTACCTAGATCTTTCCTTTCAGGCAGATGATTCTGCTGTTATAAAAACCCAGAATACTGATGCTTTTGAAAATAGTTGAGCATCATGGTAAATGTAGTTGACAATATTGGAGGTACCACGATTAGCCTTCACCATGTGATCTTGGTGTGTCCTAGTTAATCAACGATAGCAGTTTAATACTGAGCTGGGCGGTGTAGGACCGCAACGGAGAAGAGTATTATCATGACATTGGATGTCACTGACCCTTATTGGGTTAACATAGCTGAACTGGATCAGTCCTCTCTAAACGAGACCATCTCTGTATAAATATTCATGCAAAGCTTACAGAGAGCATTCCAAGGACATCGGTCCTCAGGCCGCGTTGCTGCTGTAATACACATCACATCAGCCTTAAAATTGGAAATAATTGGAAATAAAATTTAACTTTGTCTTTTCCTAATTACACCCTGATGAGCAAACTCTCCAGGATACATTATGGGCTTCTCATTCACAGTGCAGTACTGTGTGCTGATGAGGATGAGCAATGTTTCACATTTACATCGTTACATAGTTATATCTAATTACCTACTAACTAACACATACAGTAGTTATAAAGCTTCATGAAGACAAATTATATATACATTTATCCAGGTATTCCTCTCATTATTTATCAGGCGACAATAAACATGCATAATTATACAGAACAGTGTGGGGGTATTGCTGTGAGTGTAGGATTGATGAAAGTTTAGAGTTAATGCTGTGTGAACAGGGTTAATTTTGCATTGCATGAGGAAAACACAGCATGGTATGAGATTAATACAGCATGTGTGGGGTTAATACAACATGTGCAGGGTTAATTCAGCATGATGTGGGGTTAATACAGGATGTGAGAGGTTAATACAGCATGTGCGGGGTTAATACAGCATGTGCAGGGTTAATACAGCATGATGTGGGGTTAATACAGGATGTGAGAGGTTAATACAGCATGTGTGGGGTTAATACAGCATGTGCAGGGTTAATACAGCATTGTGTGAGGTTAATACAGGATGTGTGGGGCTAATACAGCATGTGCAGGGTTAATACAGCATTGTGTGAGGTTAATACAGGATGTGTGGGGCTAATACAGCATGTGCGGGGTTAATACAGCATGGTGTGAGGTTAATACAGCATAGTGTGAAGTTAATACAGCATGTGCGGGGTTAATACAGCTTGGTGTGAGGTTAATACAGCATGGTGTAGGGTTAATACAGCATGTTTGGGGTTAATACAGCATGGTGTGAGGTTAATATAGCAGGGTGTGAGGTTAATACAGCATGTGCGGGGTTAATACAGCTTGGTGTGAGGTTAATATAGCAGGGTATAGGGTTAATACAGCATGGGGCGGGGTTAATACAGCATGTGTGGGGTTAATACAGCATGGTGTAGGGTTAATATAGCAGGGTGTAGTGTTAATACAGCATGGTGTGGTGCTAATACAGCAAGTGTGGGGTTAATACAGCTTGGTGTGAGGTTAATGCAGCAAGTGTGGGGTTAATACAGCTTGGTGTGAGGTTAATGCAGCATGGCATGGGGTTAATACAGCAAATGTGGCGTTAATAACAAATACAGCAGGTGTGGGGATTATACACCAGGTGTAGAGTTTAAACATATAGGTTTTTTTAATACCATGAAATCATTTTCGGATTTTGTATGAAGTAATTTATAGGATTGGACACAGGGTGTGGTATACAGAGTTGCTGTGGGAGTGGCATACGTCAAGATATTTGGGAGGGACCATACAACATACCTAAAGGGTGAAGCCCCTGGGCTATTTGCCACATAGCAATGCCACTTATGAATTCTTCATTGTAGGTAATGTTTCAAAAGTGGTGTGTGGCAGAATGTGGACGCTATATGATCCCATTGTGAAATGAATGAATATGTTATGTGGGACCAGAGGCGGCTCTCTAATTAGGCGGTTTAGGCGGCCGCCTAAGGCCTCGCGCTGGCTGGGGCCTCGCGGCCGCCTAAACCGCCTGTGGGCAGACTGTGTCCTCGGTTAGTGACCGAGGACCTGACACCAGGAGGGGGCCTGGCGGCTTGCCCGGTATGCCGCCGGGTGCAAGGCCCCTCCTGGCTGCCTGGCCAGCCACCGCAGACACTGGTCTGCAGCTCCGCAGTGAGTAGAGCTGCAGACCATGTGTCTCGCCGAGAACTGGCCAATCAGAGCGTTGCCGCGGATTACCACGGCAACGCTCTGATGGTCTCGCGAGATTACATGCGGTGCTGCAGACCGGAAGCAATGGCCACCGGACCACCAGGGAGCCCACTGGACCACCAGGGAAATTAAGGTAGGTTCTCGCTCACCTCCCACCACCCCACACCACCCTCAGCCTCCCCGTCACCCATCAGCCTCCCCACCACCCTCAGCCTCACCACCCCCCCACCAGCCTCACCACCACCCTCAGCCTCCCCACCACCCTCAGCCTCACCACCCCCCCACCCTCACCACCACCCTTAGCCTCACCACACCACCACCCCTCCCCCCACCCCCACCAGCCTCACCACCACCCTCTCACCCTCCCCACCAGCCTCCCACCACCACCCTCAGCCTCACCACCACCCTCAGCATCACCACCACCCTCAGCATCACCACCCCTCCTTCTCACATCACCCCCTCCTTCTCACATCACCCCCTCAATCTCACATCACCCCCCCTCCTTCTCACATTACCCCCTCACTCTCACCATCACCATCACCTCCCTCTCCCTCTCACCATCACCCCCCTCTGCCTCTCACCATCACGCCCTCCCCCCCCCATACACACAACACACTTCAAGCAGCTACCCCATACACATACGGTCTCAGACAAAAATGCAAACATGCTCACAGAGACATACATTCACACATACAAGGATACTTTCTGTCAGACACACACTCAGGCACACACACAGGTAGACAGTGTCTCAATGTGTATATGTGACACTTTTTTGTTAGTGGGGCCTCATGTTTGAGTTTCTCCTAAGGCCTCAGAAAGTCTAGAGCCGCCTCTGTGTGGGACCATATGAACTCATACTGCTGGGCTTCACTTCCTAGTACTGCTAGACACAGTAAAACACCAACATCTGAACTGACTAACTCCTATAATGCTCAGAAAGCCTCATCAGAGTTGTAGTCCAAAATTGCAGAAACATCTTTTTATTCCCATCCCTGGTTTAATGGTTGCAAGATTAGATGCTTCACTGTTCCCATGACATCACCTACAACGAGATGAGGACATGTCAATCTTTGTTTTTACTATTACCTATGAGTGATGTCCTCATTGAAAATCTCATATTAAAGATGACTCACGAGGTTAGCGTCTGGGATATCATCCAAAAGAGTCTGAGATGGACCTGACGTGCGTTGCCAGCAGTGAACATTAAACCGAAGTTCTTGGCAGAACATCAATGTTATCTGAAGATGTTCTGATGGAACCTTTGCCTTTTTGAACAAAGGCCAGGCACATCTGATATTGTTAAAAAAAATAATGAAGAATTGTGATGGCCATGAAGAACAACCAGTGCTGTCATTGAACATTGTAATCTCGTTGTTTATTTGTTTTCAGAGAAGCTTCATACAA